AGTAGTAGTAGTATTTCGTCTCAATGTTCATTGCAAAACATAATATACGTTTTTAAGTAAGTGGTTTTAAGTTAATTTTGTGTCTTCTTCTACGTAACTTTCTGGTTTTGTTTTTGTCTGAAATCCTGCGAGTGATACAATACGTTATTATAATATATTGCTGGTAATGTGTCACAAGTAACTATAGCTTGGTTCTGAGATCCCTAAATTACTTTCCTCAACTTATTTGATTTATTTATCTATCCCATGTAAGATGAAAGGAATAAATAGCCGGCATGTCATACCCGTCTCTAGTCGGTTGACTTCGCTTGTTGATGTCGTTGGTGGATCTGGCGGTCGAAAAAGAACAATAATAATTGACATCTTTCAGGTTCACACTTTTCGTCCCGTTCAACTTTTTCTTGTGTAGAATAATTAGGGTTATTGGAAAGCCTTTTAAGGCAGAGATGGGGCGGGGGGGGGAGTGGGTGGTGACTAGAATAAACGGAGCCCTACCGCGCGGGAAGCGGGCCCCACAGGCAATACATTTTTGTTATCTATGCAACTAATATGTTTTACTGCGACCTAAATTTAATAGTCCCTACGAACGTACGTTGGTCCATACTTCATGTCTGGTGGATTTGAAATGTCACACTTGCAAACATTGTGTTTATGGCATATGTGATGATGGTTTATTGACCATTTTAAAAATTGGGTATTCGCTGACCAGTGTCATAAATATGTCTGTATCTAGAGCTCATGGCTTTCAATTGATCACCGGATCAGGTACATTTTTAGGAGGAATATAATTGACTTCTTGCTTATGGCAAATTTTAAGTTACTGCTGAAAGACTTTTCTAATAAGATCCTACTTACACGAGAGCTTTGGTTTTTTGCCTTGCTAAATTGTATGCCCAACCTTGAATATCTTCTGCTCGTGTTCCAGTGGCTGAAAAGCAAAGGACAAAGCAATTAAAAGGATGGATCCATTAAAATACAAAACAAATCTTTTATCATAGCCATATGTTAGTTATTAAACAGAGACACAAGTGTATAACCCCGAGGCGTTGAACTTACCTTTATTTGTTTAAATAGAACCATACTGGGGGTGTTTTAGCCGTCCAATCAGAAGCACGGATATTTTTTTTGCCCCAATAATAAATCAGCGAATTGAAGGCAACCCCTTCTAAAAAGTAGATATTAAATGACAAATTTCAATTCATTAACCGTTCTAAAAGTACATCGACGACTCCAAACTTCTCGTTGAACCGTTGAAATTTGTTGACTAACCTAATCAACGGACAAAAAAATATTTTTGCAGGTATTAGAGCGATGACTATTGCCATTTACATGCGCTAACCTGCACTATGGCGAGTACGAATTTTTGTGGACACTTTCCATCTAAAGTAGTAGTAGTATTTCGTCTCAATGTTCATTGCAAAACATAATATACGTTTTTAAGTAAGTGGTTTTAAGTTAATTTTTGTCTTCTTCTACGTAACTTTCTGGTTTTGTTTTTGTCTGAAATCCTGCGAGTGATACAATACGTTATTATAATATATTGCTGGTAATGTGTCACAAGTAACTATAGCTTGGTTCTGAGATCCCTAAATTACTTTCCTCAACTTATTTGATTTATTTATCTATCCCATGTAAGATGAAAGGAATAAATAGCCGGCATGTCATACCCGTCTCTAGTCGGTTGACTTCGCTTGTTGATGTCGTTGGTGGATCTGGCGGTCGAAAAAGAACAATAATAATTGACATCTTTCAGGTTCACACTTTTCGTCCCGTTCAACTTTTTCTTGTGTAGAATAATTAGGGTTATTGGAAAGCCTTTTAAGGCAGAGATGGGGCGGGGGGGGGAGTGGGTGGTGACTAGAATAAACGGAGCCCTACCGCGCGGGAAGCGGGCCCCTCAGGCAATACATTTTTGTTATCTATGCAACTAATATGTTTTACTGCGACCTAAATTTAATAGTCCCTACGAACGTACGTTGGTCCATACTTCATGTCTGGTGGATTTGAAATGTCACACTTGCAAACATTGTGTTTATGGCATATGTGATGATGGTTTATTGACCATTTTAAAAATTGGGTATTCGCTGACCAGTGTCATAAATATGTCTGTATCTAGAGCTCATGGCTTTCAATTGATCACCGGATCAGGTACATTTTTAGGAGGAATATAATTGACTTCTTGCTTATGGCAAATTTTAAGTTACTGCTGAAAGACTTTTCTAATAAGATCCTACTTACACGAGAGCTTTGGTTTTTTGCCTTGCTAAATTGTATGCCCAACCTTGAATATCTTCTGCTCGTGTTCCAGTGGCTGAAAAGCAAAGGACAAAGCAATTAAAAAGATGGATCCATTAAAACGCAAAACAAATCTTTTATCATAGCCATGTTTTAGTTATTAAGCAGAGACAAGTATATAACCCCGAAGCGTTGAACTTCCCCTTATTTGTTTAAATAGAACCATACTATTTTTTTTTCAATGAGATTGTGAGGGCAGCCTCTAGTACGAACGCTTTTGAGTTGACTGAGTAGTTTGTTCTAAAACTGTAAGATCTTCACCTTTCATGAGACCTTTCTAATCTTTTCTGGAGCTAAATCAAGCACGAAATTTCTCAAGCTCCAAGGTGCACTTCCCAGATCTGGAAGTCTGCTGTGTTTGGTCTACGTTTTTTCCCGCTCAAAACAGCAGACGTTAGTGGGGCAGGAACGCGTGACGAACCCCAAAGAACGTCTGCGTGGGAGGCTAGTCTTACCCTTTTCTAGGGTGGTGACTAGAATAACATATTAAGCCGCTTGTGGGATGTTTAACAAGTCATTCCCAAGCACTGGATAACTAGTATTTGTTAATATTAACTGAGCCCTACCGCTCCGGAAGCGGGCACCATACGCAATACATCATTTTTGTAATCTATGCAACTAAGATGTTTTATTACGACCAAAATTTAATAGTCCACTGTCGCACTTTGTAATAAAATTGTCTCACTTTGTAACACCTGTCGCACTTTGTAATAACACTTATCGCATTTTGTAATAAACTTGAAATGGATAGTCGAGGACAAGTAAACCCAATAATAAGTATTATCATCAACAACAACAACAAAAATAATAATAATAACAATAATAATAATACGTGTTCACATCAACTACGGCCCTCCGGCTTCAAGATCTTTCTAGGGAAGTACAACTCTTTATATGCGGACGACCTCGATAAAGAGATAGTGTCTATAACAGCGAGAGCCCGTTAACATGGGAGTTTGTATTGAAATTTTATGTAATTAATTGTTCATAAAAAGAAAGGAAGGTGTCCTTCACGCGAAACGTGATTGTATAAACAAAATAGTTTCAAAGTTTTACTAGTAGCACATGCAACTAGTTTTCGTTACCTGCGAGGTATAAAGGTACAGAGATATTACTTGATTTGTCTTTTTTGCCATGAATGAGCGCTATACTAGTATTTCATACAATCAATGAAAAGCACAAACTCAGACCACAACACGGTTCCACAATCATTGTCATCACCATCATTGCCATCATCATCTTTATCAACATCATCATTATTGTTACTAATCAGTATTAGTAAAATCCAACTAGTGGTCTATTATCAATGCTACGTTCTGATTGGTTGAGCTACTACTAGGCTATATGTAATAGCCCACTAGTAGCGAAAAACGCCGACTTTTTGGCGGCTAAAAAGGATTAAAGTCTAGCTTTAAGTAGTTAGTTGGATTTTACTTAAACAATTATTTCTCTCGCCCTCACGGCCTCTGAGTCAATAGTCCATTCGGCCTTCGGCGTCAAGGGCTATTGACTCAGAGCATTCGGCCCATTCAATTCGGGCTCGAGGAATAATGGTTAATTAGGGCACTAACACGTTCTGTAAAACGTTGCATATTACTTCATTGTGCCACGATGACTACTACTAATTTTGTTAGTGTAATTCAGGCTTTTTAATGGTTGATATATTTGAGAAAAATATGGCAGAATTTTTAATTTTTAACAGTGATAATTTAACTCGGAATTTTATTACTTGCGGTTTTTTTTGCTCTCTAACATCTTTTTAAGCACAGATCAATTTTTCAGTGACGATTACCTCGATTTATGAGGGTTTCAAGTAAAATGGAGTACACTTAATTAATTTAAAATGGGAGATTCAAGAGGGCGGATGGTTTCCGACTCTTCTTTAACAATGGATGACGTCATCATGATATCGCTGCTATTCTTGATTTTGTCAGACACCTTACAATTTGAGTTTTTTGCTTCGAGGGAAAAATCATGGAATTGGATTTTGCCAATATTTACATTCATCAAATTATGTCATTGTGTCAACACATCATGCCTAGATGTTGGAAATTAAGAGCACATTATTCTGTGTTAATGTGGTGGCCCTCTCATGAGTGGCCTAAATAATCATCAGCATCATCTTAACTTGTTATCGATGATGATACTTATTATTGGTTTTACTTGCCCTCCAACTATCTATTTCAAGTTTATTACAAAGTATTACAAAGTACGACATTACAATTGTATCGTCCCTTCGAACGTACGTTGGTCCATACTTTATGTCTGGCGGATGTAAACTTGCAAACATGGAGTTTAAGGCATATGTTGTGGTTTATTGACCATTTTAAAAATTGGGTATCCGCTGACCAGTGTCATAAATATGACTGTATCTAGGGCTCTTGGCTTTCACTTGATCGCAGGTTCTAATACTTGTAAAATTTGATTGGTTCTAAAAAAAACAACATTGGACCAGAGGATACTCTTCAGGGTTGTATGGTTCTGGCAGAGAAGAATAATTGCATATTTGATCAGTAAATACTTATGCAGTGCTTGTTCATTTTAAAAGTAACTTTGGGTAGTGGAGTCCATAAAAATGTCAGACAGAGCTGTAGTATTAAAGATTTATGAAAGCTAAGGCCACCACAGTTATATTTTTGGACAGTTTATATTTGATGCGGTCATTAAAAACACTGAAAAATGTTTGATTGTTAAAATGATTACCTTCATCGATTTTTTTCTACCGTTGTTTGCCTCAGGACTCTTCTTGCCACTAAAAAACAACTTTTATTGACTCTTTTGTCCAATTCGGGGCACAAAAAATTTTGTTGTGCCTTTCTAATACCTGCAAAAATGAAAAAAAGGAAGAATTAATCATTATTATCACTACTATAAGTATTACTATTAATCAAGTTTAAAAGAAAACAGTAAGGAAAACAGAGAACTCCATATCCATTTCGTGTAACAATCACCCATCGGCTGGTGCCGACCGTGTCACGTCAACTGGTCATAACATGTAATGGGACCATTTCGGACACCCATTGCAGGATAAAGCATACTATGCTGAGCAGTGAAAAACATTACCTTTTGTCTGCATGCTTTTTCTCTTATATGCATTTTCCTACCATTTGTGACATTTTCGTCCTTCAATTTGTTACTTATTTTACATTTAAGTTCCTGTCGTCATTCAACGGTTTATTACTTCTAAATATGCATGTTGGAATATAAGAAACGTCAAGTAAAGGTCTTTTTTCTTTCCAGAAATGCATATATATTTTCTTATATTTATCAATGCAATTTGCTTTTTGCTGTTATTACGAGGGCTGCAAGAATTGTTCTGAAGGATAGTAATATTACTCACCATCAACTGATACAGTGAAACCTCTATTAAGCGGACCCCCAATTAAGCGGACACCCTCTATTAAGCGGACACGAAGCTGGGTCCCGAAACGAACGTCTGATATTTCCCTTTATAACGAACTCCTATTCAGCGGACACCAAAATAAGTTGTATTTGGCTAATTTCTATTGTTAAAAACCTCTATTAAGCGGACCCCGGACAGAATTGACAATAGTAGTACTGGATTACGTCCTTGGTTGTTTTCATCCCTGACCCATGATTTGGGCAATCTGAAGCAATGGCTCGATTCTAACCGTCTAAGTCTTAATGTCCTCAAGACTAAATGTCCGTTTACAGGCACGAGGCAAAAAATCTCTTTGCTCCCTAGCGATCCACACATATCCCTCGACGGGCATTCAATTGAAAGAGTCAATATGCCTAGGCGTTCAGGCTGATGAAACACTCTCGTGGGAGGCTCACATCTCCGAAGTCATCGGTAAAGTTGCAACAGTACTAGCTGCCCTGAGGAGGTTAAGACCGACATGTCCCCAGAGTACCTTATCACTATTTACAAGTCGTTGATTCTTCCGCATCTCGATTATTGCAGCGCTGTCTGGGGCTGTATCGGTAATGGTCTCAGCCAAAAACTAGAGAAACTACAAAACAGGGCTGCACGCATAATCACAGGGTCTAGCTGGGATGCCAGCTGTGCCCCTATTCTTCATGCCCTTAAATGGGATAGCCTCACTGACAGACGTGCAAAGCAACTGAAATCTTTAATGTTTAAAACTGTAAATAACCTTGTACCCGATTACCTGTCTGATAAATTCACCAGCATTAATACCATTCACAGACATAATCTTCGACCGAACACTGAGGCCCTAAAGAAACGTTGTCGTTATAGGGGCGCAGTAACATGGAACAGCCTGTCAGCTGAGGCTAAGCAGGGCACTACTTTAAATTGTTTTTACTCCGCTATTGTACATTAAGATTTTCTTAGTTGGCATTTATTATAGGATTTTCAATAATGTTTGATATTTTAAAGTCTTAGCTTAATGTGCACGGCTCTTTAGAAGACCACTTTTTGGTGATAAGGATTCCGTGGTTAAATAAAGTTATTACTTGCTTACTTACTTGAAATAAGAACTGAAGTTAGTTAATGTCTTTGCATTTACAAACAAATTAAAGTTGGTAATAAAAGGATATGAAATTGAACTCTAGATAGATTCTTTAAGGTGGCTCCGTAATTAATACAAGAGCATTTAGCTGTGACAAATTTTCCTTCATACCTTTTTCGATTTTAACGCGATGGCTGCGAAACTTTGTAAAAAAGCAACAGATATCATTCGGCAATAATACGAAATATTCCGATTTCATTGATGGTAAATATTTCTTGAGAAATTAGCGCTTAAAAAGACCCTACTGTTCAAAGAATGTCGCGTCTAGTAAAAAATTTTGCTGATATTTTTTACTGAAATTTCTGGTATCGGCTTTAATTGATATAATAAATATGCCAGAGGAATTTCAGAAAAATCGTTGGACCAGAAGTCCGTAACTAAAAGTCGCTCAAAATTCAGCTGTGAAATTGTTTTGGAATTTCAAAAATAAATTACTATCAGGAAGAAGGAGACACCAAAGACACCAGTTTCAATTTTCGGGACAAGTAAATTCCGTGTTTGCTAATTCTAAAAACAGAAGCCGATTGCCTATCGTGCTATTCTTTAAAAGGTATTTTTCAGTTTTAGAAGCACTATAAATTGCTGCAAACTTTGCTCTGACGTCGAATGACTTGTTCCTCGACATTTTTAAAATATCCCTAGGCAGTTTTGATTCAAACTCCTGCTACATACATTTTGATGTATTGCAATGCATCCTCAACGGCTTTTCCTGCTGTACGTTGTTTCCAATTCAGGAAAAAGGTATTGGGATTGTAAGCTACCTTGTATCGAAGCTCAGACAGAACTGTCCAGCACCTTTGTTTATGACTACAAAATGAGCACGAGCGGCAGCTCTGCGAGGAATTCGCACCTCAGCCCGGGGGGGACGACTGACAATGATGCTCATGCCGATGTCTGTGAACCGATCTGTATAAACATGCATGTATTGCAGAGCAAAACATAATAATCAAGAAAAAAGAATACCCATTCATTGAAGGAAGGAGTGACAAAAATTTGAGAGTTGTAAATTTATTCACTGGCAGTATTTTTGCCATAATTTTATTTTGCACTGTGACGTTATTCGGTTCACAGTCATGGGCATCATGGTCGTTCGTCCCCCCAGGGTGAGATGCGAATTCCTCGCAGAACTGCCGCTGGTGCTCATTTTGTAGTCATAAACAAAGGTGCTGGACAGTTCTATCTGAGCTCTGATACAAGGTAGTGTCCAATCTCAATACTTTTTCCTGAGTTGGAAGCAACGAACAGCGGTAAAAGTCGTTGAAAATGCATGGCAATACATCAAAAGGTATGCAACAGGAGTTTGAGCCAAAACTGCCAAGGGATATTTTAAAACATGTCCAAGAACAAGTCATTTTACTTCAGAGCAAGGTTTGGAGCAATTTATAGTGCTTCTAAAACTAAAAAGTACCTTTTAAAGAATAGCACGATAGGCAATCGGCTTTTGTTTTAAGAATTAGCAAACGTTGAATTTAATTGTCCCGAAAATTGAAACTGGTGGCTCCTTCTACCTGATAGTAATTTATTTTTGAAATTCCAAAACAATTTCACAGCTGAATTTTGAGCGACTTTTAGTTACAGACTTCTGCTCCAACGATTTTTCTGAAATTCCTCTGGCATATTTATTATATCAATTAAAGCCGATACCAGAAATTTCAGTAAAAAATATCAGCAAATGTTTTTACTAGACGCGATTTTCTTTGAACAGTAGGGTCTTTTTAAGCGCTAATTTCTCAAGAAATATTTACCATCATTGAAATCAGAATATTTCGTACTATTGCCGAATGATATTTGTTGTTCTTTGCAAAGTTTCGCAGCCATCGCGTTAAAAACCAAAAAGTTATGACGGAAAGTTTGTCACAGCTCAATGCTCTTGTGTTAATTACGGAGCCACCTTAACAACATGCAACGTTATCACAGTACAGAGTAACCGTTGAATGTTGATCGTTAACAAACATTACGCAATTTTTAAAACCTCTATTAAGCGGACACCCTCTATTAAACGGACACTTAGGAAGATCCCGAAGGGGTCCGCTTAATAGAGGTTTCACTGTATGCCAATTAAGTTGGAAGTCCCACAAGGCGCGTTCTACTATTCACAATTTAACTTTGTTGTTAGGTGTCTCCATGACATTGCTACAGATCGTTTTAAGAGTTATTTTAATAGGTCTTCACTTTCTTTTTCGACTAGGCGTAATGCTTTAGATGTTTTAATTCCTAAAGTTCGTACAGAATCTGCCAAGATAGGAACATTTTACACTGGAGCCTAGGCTTTTAACAACTTGCCACCCCATCTGAAGGAAGTTGAGTCCATAGTGATTTTTAAAACATTTCTGAATGATATTATTTTTTAGAGATCTTGTAAATATATTTTGTTTTTACTTTTTAGAGTCTTAATTTACGTAGTTATATAATTCTTAGTTTTTATCCATCGACATTGTACATAGTTTTTACATTTTTCTGATAGTTGATCTGATATAGTTATTTTTTCCTTTAATTGTCAATTTTTTAGTTGCCCAGGGCATCCATTTATAACAGCTTCAGCTGACGGGTTTACCCTGGTTAAATATGTTATTATTATCATCATTATTATTAAATTGCGCCTATTGATTCAAGTTGATAGTAAGGGCCTGTTTACATGGAGGTGGGGGACCCCAGGTTGGTGGGGTGACCCATCAAATGTTATCTCACCTAACGGGGGTCCCCCACCTCCATGTAAACAGGCCCTCAATGCAAACTTTTCTGTCCATCAAATGGCTTCTATCATTTGTAGCTGGAAACTGGTGAAACACTTTGACTGTTTTGGAGACAATAGAAGAACAAACGATACTAGAAAGATCACATTATGCGGTCTTAAAGCGTGTTGTATGACTTTATATTCAGTTGCGGTCAAAATGAACACAATCCCTAAGAAGTCAAGCATCACATGCTCGGCTCGTCGTCCACATGCTGTCGAGAAAGAGAAAACCCGGGGCTTGGCGTCCACCAGTGAACGTGAGTAAACTTACTCGTATTCTCCCTCCCCGAAATCCAGTTTCCTGAAAGAAACTTCATCTCGATTGTGTATTCGACTTTCAACGTATTTGTTCTTTGCATTCTTGTGCTAAAAACGCCAGAAAATAGATCGATATAGATCTTCGTGAACAAGCACCACGGAGTCCCATTGAAACTTTCTTGTTTTTGTTTTTGAATAAAATGCTAAATCATAACCTGTTCCGCCCTTTTTATCTTTAAGCACTGTAGTGATTAGTCTCCAAACGTTAGTAACTGTTGGCTCTACTTTTCTTTGTATGCATGTAAAGCCTGATGGAGTAGTCGGACAAATGAAACATGATTTGGTGGTTTTTCGAGAAGTGATAGTTATAGAACTTACCAAAATCCGTATAGAAGCAAGGAAACGGGAGATCCATGGAAACAGATAGCTGTAAAGCTGAGTGTCCTTGATCATCCGAAATTCGAAGTCAATAAAAGTTTCATGAGGGACAGACAGACCTTGCTGTTACCAAGCATAAAGCAAAAATGCGCCAAGAGGAAAATGCCGCTGGAATCACTTACGAAGAGACCAAGCTAGACCAAGCTCTCGAAGAGATAACGGGACAAAGAGAAGGCTCCGAGTCACCGGAAAAGAAAAGGGAGAAAAAGCAGCTGCAGATAAACACAGGCTGAGCGCTATGGATCGTTTAGGGCAGACCGTGACAAGACATTTTGAACACCTCATTCGTATTTCCTTTGTTTTTTGTGGACTCGTCGTCCACAGCAAGCGTACAAGTGCTTGACTTTGGAATTTACCATCCGTGAACGACGTTCTCGACCCAGTCCTTTCACGGTGCAGTTTGTTGTCGTCGTCTATTTCATCGTCGATGCTTAAAGACCCCAGTGTGAAAAAGTGAAATAGACACGTATATCTGTATTGCCGTGGTTGTAAATGTAAGGTTTCTTTGAATTTTTTTCTTTTAAAAGCGTAAATTCACATGAAAGAATCATGCTTTCACAAAAATAATATAAAATGAAACGAAGCAAATCGAAAAGTAGTACAAAAAACCAGGATTTTTCTGTTTGATGGAAAGGAGAGGTAATTTGCATGGATTTGCATACAGATGAAAACAAATTCGAGAACAATTCAAAACCGTTCGACTGTATGTTTGTTTTTCTGGCATTCTATACATTCTACTGGCTTAAATCCTTAAAATATGTCAAAGTCAAAATAAGTTACAAGTTGAGCAATTGTAATATTTTCCTGATATGAAGGAGAGTAACGCGGAGACAATACCCTAACACTTCAGTCAGAGACATACATCGGCAATTTGAACTCTTTACTTGGAAAAGACCGTTTTATAAAGGTCTTATTGCCATCATCATCATCCCTATCATTATCATTTTTCTCATCCGTCATCATCATTATTATCACTATTGGATTATTAATTTGTTTATATGACGTGTAGTGTATTGCATAAATCTACTAGATATTATACGTTATTTAGGTTACCAACCAATGCCATACGTCTCTAAGCATTCCCTGATGTATGAGACATTTGTGCTCGTCGTCTTTTCGCTTAAAACCTCTTCCCTCACTGCTACCACCTCCCCCACTTTCTTCGAATTGACCTTGCTTCTTCTAAATGTTTCCGCCTGAAAACAAATTGTAAATTTAAAAAAAGAATAGTAAACTGGTAACGTATTCATTGCACACCTTCCCCTTAGGTGATATAGCAAGATCTCACGATCTGTCTTATCACTTTTATGCTGATGATATACATTTACATTTTTTTTTGAAAGGTCATTGCCTGAGGATTTGTCGACATGTAAATCTGCTATTGAAGACTGCATTAATGATATTGACCTTTGAATGTTAGAAAATAAACTGAAACTGAACAGTGGAAAGACTGAAATCATAGTATTTCCATCCTCCTATCTCCCACGTCCTGTGTTAAATAACCTGGTGATTGCTTCTGACATTGTTGACTTTTCAAATATTGCTAAAAATATTGGCGTTATTTTCAACAACTCTCTATCCTCACTTTACTGCTGTATGCAAGTCTTCTGTTTTCATTTATGCACTTTTTTAAAGATTTGCATGTTTGGTTCTCACGATACATGTAAAAGTCTAATTCATGCCTTTATTACTGCAAGGACCGACTATTGTAACTCGTTGCTCTACGGTCAGCCAAAATGTATCTTAAGGTGGCTCGACCCAGTATTTTTGTAGGCACACCCTCAAATCTCTGAATCTCTGATACTCATATAAATCGATCTGTATTGTAAAACGATTATGACACATGGATTACACTGAGACTAAACTTTATTACGGTATTATTTTTTGGGCGATCAGAATAAATGTCCCTTGGCAATGACGTCGGATGGTATTAGCTCTAAATCAGATTTCAGCCCTCATCGGCATTTTGTTTTGAAATACTTTAAGCTAGTATTCTTTGGTTAAATGTCTTCTGCTGCGCAAAGTTTCACAAAAATCTATAAGAGGAATTTCGAGAAATCTTGGAATTTCTATAAAAAAAGTATAAATGATGCATGCACTGAAGACTGGACTTAATGCAGACAAATTTGCCAATTTTTGGATGCATCCCAAAACGTTTATCACTCATTTGCTTATACACTCTATAAGCTGCTGAACCTAAGTACACTTGCGCGATTTCGGAACACATGAAAACCTATGTATCAGGGTAAAACGCAATGCTGAGCTCTTTTTGCAATTTTTAAGGCGACTTTCATGGAAACAGCGATTAAAACAAAATTCGTTGATAGATTTGTTTTAAACTTTTTTGGTACATTAGTTGATAAGTGTACTATTAAATCCCTGAATTTCGTGTCCATTGAAAACTTTTAAAGCTGTCTAACATGGGCGCAAAAAGGAGTAAATATTAAAGCGATGTCATATATCTGACTAAGTTTTTACTCTCGCACTTCCCATTGTCTTGAGTTTAGCACAACATCAAATTCTCATGCAGCACGCGAGAATTTACCGCGCTTGGTTGCCCTCTGAAATCTATTCACTATTGTTTTCTCCCATTCTACAGCATTACCATATTTCGGAATGATTTCAGAGGGCAACCAAGCGCGGTAAGTTCTTGCGTGCTGCATGGGGATTTGATGTTGTACTAAAGTACCGAACATTGCAACAAAAAACATCTTAACTTTAAATTCCCGCTTCAAGCAAAAGCTTAAATTTGCTTCGATTCCCAAAGCGAATAAAGACAAAGTGTAGAACCATTAAATATTGCTTGACATTTTGTTAGCTGGAGCACCAAGATAAACTCTCTGGAATAGCATTTGCAGATCTAATTGGCCAAGACAAAAGGGAAATTTGGCAAAGCAAATTTAGACGGCTATTTAATCTCTCAGGTCTCCGCGACATACGGTCAGTGAAAACAAACAACTCCCACAACATGAACTACCTGCGACAGAGACTCTTAGACATAGAACAACACGCATGAATTGGCAAGAAGAAAGAAACATCAATCATAGAGTAGCAATTAAGATTACTTAAAATTAAGATTAAGCAACCATAAAGTAGCAATTGAAATTGGGCGATAGCTAAACCCTATCAACCACCAGATCGAAGAATCTATCCATTTTGTAAAACTGGAATAGAAGACGAGGAGCATTTCTTGATGAATTGCATGGCCTTTAGGTATCCTAGTAGAGTGCCGTTCAATAAGCTAAAAATGGAAACTTATCTTTTTCTTGACTCTGTGACTCCAAGCACTGCTTTTGCAAAGTTGGCAGTGAATCAAGGAGAAAAGACGCAAAAATTGGTGGCTAAATACGTATGTGATCGTTTGCGAGAAAAAGAAAGATGCGTTAAATATAACCTTGTCTAATAGTATAAATTTTACAAATGTACACCTCTGTAATCAAAAGAGAACTTCTACTGTAATTCCACGTCCTGTACTACGATGTATTGCACTGTAATCTTTGTTATCGTGTACACAGATGTGCGTTTAGGCGCTCTGTCGATAATAAAGCTATCTAACAATATATTGTAATTACTCCTGTTGAAAAGCGCTCTGAGCAATTAATGTAATCTATCGTTAACTTCATGTGGAAACAACAACATTCCACGTTTACTGAAACTAAACTTCAGGCAAGGACCTCTTCTTAAGGAGCATACAACTCAAGAGTTTTTTTCCAAATTAAGCTTCTAAACGAAACATTTTAAGCAGGTGTTAAGCTTACCAGTGAGCCAAAATACTTAAGCTTAAGCTTTCTAGCTGAGGCTAAGTTTTTTAATGCCACAATGTGATCCAACACATCGCATACAGAACGTGGTCAGCATTCGAGCAATTTACGGCTACACCGGCGTATGGGTTGTCTAAAAATGCCAGAAAACGAAGAACAAACCTTTGCAATGGTAGAAGCCATGGGAGAGTCCATACATCCTCATATTTCGCAAGGTTTTGGCCACAAAATGTACCATTTTCCCGCACGTGCTGTCGACTTTCCGGCACCGTTGCACAGACTCCTTCGGATTAGCTTCTCGTTACCAGAGTCTTCGCGCCACTAGATTTCCAGCAAAAAACACAGCCCCCTGGGTAATAAAAAGTCCCCGTAGACATGAATTTTAAAAAAGAAAAAGTTACCAATACAGTATAAATATTGCTCCCTGGTGTCGTTGTTCTCTACATATAGTTTCAGCGCATTTTGAGCAGCATAACAACATCTGACCTGATAGTTTAATGGCTCAGTCAATTCCTAGCGTGGCTATCCCCTTCCCCCCACCCCCTTCCACCTGAGCATTTGTTGGGCATTTGTCATTTTGTTTCGGAGAGCTGCAAATGCCCCACGATGTGCCCAGACGTTCATACAAAACCCCCACAGTAGGGCGTTAAAATAGGGTGCAAATGCCCCAACCCAGGACAACACCAAAATTTCATTTTCCAGTAAATAAGCTTCATATGCCATATCAGATGGATGCCATATTTATAAGAAATCTGTAATAATCTGATCAAAACACGTGAAGCACAAACCGCAAATCGCTCCTAGCCGCTATTTATAACTATTAAAAAAAAAGATCACTTTGATCTGATTAATATCAATGACAGAACTATAAACTTGGATTTTAATAATACCTTCCTTATTTTCGAAAGTACTTTATATAGTGGATTTTAAACAAACAATAAGCTTAACGTGCCGGTGGGCGCAAAAAAGAACGGGGCGCGCGAGGGCGACTCCCCGCGGGCGCGACTCTCGCCCGCCCGTTCTTTCTTGCGCCCAAATACTTCCAAGCGCCTGCTACACAGGTACCGTAAACAGTGACATTTACTCTTAAATTCAAGGACTGTTTTTTCATTGTTAGTTGAAGCATTGTTGCATCGGTTTGTTTCCTTTATGTCAGATGCGTTTGAATAGTCCTTTCCCAAAGCACGTTTGCTCAGTTGTAAGGAGTCTATCCGAGACACTAGCTAACGCCTGTAAATTTTGGATTTTCTTTTTCTTCTTTTCTTACGGAGGGTAATCATAGTTTTCGTTTCGTCTGTCGTAAAAATCGCACGTTTCTTTCTAGTTTCCTCCGCAAGCGTTGTAAATACTTGGACTAGTCTGATTTTAATAAACCGGCATGGAATCTTCCCGACCGCCTTGTATTTCACTGTGGTTGACCTGGCCAACTCCGGTGCCCTAACGCCAAACGTCTACGACAATGGGAACGCTACAGATGTATTTATCGACCTCGTAATGATAATAGGCTACTTCCGAGTTCCAAAAACCATTACTTTCAAAATGAGGCTAGGTACACAATCTTTCTTGTGAAAATGAGTTTTATTTGTATGAGAATGAAAAATGATTTCAATATCAAAGGCTGAGCACCTATCCGGCCCGGGGGGAACTCGGAAATGGCCTATTTGGAACTGTTCAACACCTTGGACGATATGGTACAAGAGTGTACAAGAGCTAGAAGAAGGTGGTCATGGTTGGTGATTTCAATTGCGATGTCTTGATTTTAGCTAGATTTACACAGCAAGTCTGGCCCTATTAAGGTTGTGAGAAATTGAACCACAAGTACTGTCATTTTGACCGACAGTTTGAGCGTGAATAATTTGTCGCAGAATTACTTGTCTTGAAAAAAAAAAGCACGTAATTCTTTATTAAAAAAATGCACGGCAACTATTCTTACAGCATATATACCTACTGATTTATAGTTTTTAAAGATAAAACTGCTAGAACCGCGTAATCACCAAGGGGGTATATTATATATAGCATCTTGCCACGCATGTTTCCGTTGTTCATTTGCCCCTGCTTCCCTCCAGTGGGATAATAAAAATAATAATAATAATAATAATAAACTTTATGGATTTTTGGGCCGTAGATCTTTCATAGATCCGATATGCTGTAATTTTTGCATGGTTTTGTCCATGTTTTTAGGTTGGTTTTGGCCAATTCTTTATTTTCTCTGCGAGACATCAACTTGACACTTGGACCCTTGCCCCCAGGGCCCAGTTGTTCGAAGGCCGATTAGCGCTTAACCCGGGGTTACATTTAACCGAGGTTTCTTTTTCTTTTGTTCAAACGCATTTTCTCTGATAATTTTCTCTGTTATTTTTAGAGCTTCCAATCATCAACTTGTAGAAAAAAAGAATTAAAACTGAAATGCTTTTTAAGCTTTCAAATCTGAATTCAAA